CAAAATTCGGATGCTTGGTAACTGATTCATATTTATGACGGTTGCAGTGTCCTGGGGTCATGTTTGCAATCTTTTGACAAGCAAAGTCAATGGGGATTCACTTAAACAACCATATTACTAACTTAAACAGCTGCAGTGATTCACTTAACAACTATGGTAAGAAAGTCATAAAATAAAACTCACTTAACAAAAACTTAGCAACAGAAATTTTGGGCTTCATTGTGATCATAAGTTGAGGACTACCTGTACAGAAGAATCTGGTGAACTAATGTTCAACACTACATTGGCACCAGATAAGGGTCAATGGAATTCAGGCGGGGTTGGAGTGGAGTCCTTGTGGGAGCACAGTGACTCTAAGCTGATGATGCGTTTAAATCTACTCGCCCAACGCAGCTTGGTCTTCTCCTACATCCCTTGTAGCCTTGTAGGAGATATGCTAACTATAGTTTGCAGGCAATATAAAAAACTCAAACTACTTTTTTGCTACTAATTAAGATGACATAACGTGGTGGTTCAGTGGCTAAGATGCTCAGCTTGTCAATCAGAAGTTTGGCAGTTCAGTGGTTCGAATCCCTAGCGCCACGTAACAGAGTGAGCTCTGGTTACTTGTCCCAGTTTCTGACAACCTAGCAGTTTGAAAGCATGTAAAAATGCTAGGAAAAAAATAGGAATCACCTTTGGTGGGAAGGTAACAACATTCCATGTACCTTTGGCATTTAGTCATGCCAGCCACATGACCATGGAGATGTCTTTGGACAGCACTGGTTCTTCGGCTTTGAAACGGAGATGAGTACCACCCCCTAGAGCCAGATACGACTAGCACGCATATGCGTGGGAACCTTTACCTTTTTAAGATGACATTAGGGTATTTATGTCTTGGCAGAAAGCAGGAACTGAATAACGCCCTACTGGAATGGCCTCAAGTTCAGCCTTTTAGCAGAATTGTTTAGGAAAACATCCCAATGAATTGGTTGCAATCTGCCCATGTGCTGCCTTTAGAAATGCCCAGATTTGCTGCCTGACTTCAATCTGTTCCTCAATATTAAGGCCTTTATACTGATGAGCAAATTGAAACAAGAGATTCTGGGCACAAGAATATACCTGCTTATGTATGTTGCTTGGCTGCACAAAATGTATTTCCTCTCTCTGCTTATTTGCACGGATGTGAACTTGGACTGGGAAGCATATGCTTGTTTGCTTTTACAGGGCGTAGATTGTGAGGAGAGTGGTAGCAACCTGAGAGGGGTGGGGCTGAGGTAATGGGATGTCCTCCTCCCCCCAAAATGGGGCAAGCCTCCCTTAATCAGGCCAGCCTTATGCAGGCTAGCCAAGCCCAGAACCACAAGCTAGGCTGATGTGTGGGCTCCTAAACATCTGGAAGGAAATGGTTCCAGTTCTTCTAATTGCAATAAAAACCCCTTTGGAAAGAAAAACTGCGGGCTTGGAGAAACACATCCACATTTTTCTAACTGGAGGGGATCTGTGGTGTGTGGATGGGAGGGGGGGAGTTAGTCCCATTTGCAAGGAAAGGGGAAAGAAATGGACCTCGGAAAAGAGATTTGCAACAAAGGGAGAGATAGTGCACAGGGAAAAGCAGAGATGTGCTGACAACCAGCCGCTCTTGATCATTCCAAGAAGCAGAAAAGATAGGACATACAATGGAACCTCTGGTCACAACCATAATTTGTTACATAATTTTGGTCACAACCCGATTTGGTCGGGACCTGAACCTTATTTTGGAAATTTGGCGCTTACAAAAAAAATGGCGCGGATGGGGAAATTGGCTGCAAAAAACCTCCACCTTTGTGAATTTTTGGTTGGAACCCAATTTGGTCGTGGTCAGAAGCGTTTGTGACCAAAGGTACTACTGTAGTTCCTCAACTATCAGTACCACCATTGCTACATTACCATATTGTTATTGTCACTGTGGTCATCACATTTTGACTTCCCTTCCAATTCCCAGAGTTTCTAGACAGCATAACTAAGAACAACAATTCTGCGAATTGTTGTTCTCACAGCTTTGAATTGAAAAAGCCTTCTTTATCTAGCTTGTTCAAAGCCTGGAGAACTTCTCTGGCAGTCCAGATAATCTATAGTTCCAGGAGTGAAATCCAGCAGGTTCTGGAGAACCGGTAGTGGAAATTTTGAGTAGTTCAGAGAACTGGCAAATACACCTCTGGCTGGCCCCAGAGTGGGATGGAATGGGGATTTTGCAATATCCTTCCCCTCCCATGCCCACCAAGCCAAGCTCACAGAACCGGTAGTAAAAAAAATGTGACTTCCACCACTGTATAATTTCCAGTAGATTTAGCCCACATGGACATAAATTAAATTTTGGGGAGTTGCAATTCAGCCATTTTTGGAAGATCTTAATCCTCTAGGCCTGACATCATCTTCACAGCTTTTATAACAGATGAGTTCTCTTTACTCAGAGAGAAAACTGAGGCAAGGAAGATTGGCTTGCCTGAAACTACCTAGTGAGTTTTGTGACAAGGGTAGTGTTGGAGTCCTTGTTTTCACCATCGCCATGTCAGGTCTCTCAAGTTAGGAACCAGGCATTGGGCTTTGGGGGGGCAGGACAGCCCAGAGTGCTGAAAAAGTGTTTTGTTCTTGTGTGAAATTTTATATCCAGATATATTTTATTCTTTATACTGTTTCCATCTTCCCTGAAAATATTAACAAAACCCACAATGGTTTGAGAATCAGTTTCTCCATTAGATAATTCACAGTGAAGCTGAAACTAAGTCAATCAATTAAAATTAGCAAACTTCCTCAAATCCCCATAGGTTACCCAGACCTAATCCACATATCAAAGGATGAGGCCTGCAAACACAAACAGAATGAATTAAATTAGGTTTCCCAGAGGAACATCATGTTTACCAGAATAAACATACCTACACTGTGGAATGTGGTGTAGTGCTGTGGTGGCTCAGTGGTTAGCATGCAGTACTGCAGGCTACTTCTGCTGACTGCTGATTACCAGCAGGTTTGGCAGTTCGAACCTCACCAGGCTCAAGGTTAACTCAGCCTTCCATCCTTCCGAGGTGGGTAAAATGAGGACCCAGATGGTTGGGGGTAAATAGGCTGACTCTGTAAACCGCTTAGAGAGGGCTGTGAAAGCAATGTGAAGTCTAAGTGCTATTCCATTGCTACACACACACACACACACAGTGTCACTCTAGAATCACCACATAGATACCTGTACTTCACCCCAAACAACTCCCCCCACCCTGTAAAAATCTGCTGCTACATCCCCCTTTTCTCTGCAGCCTGCTCCTAAATTGCTTTTAGCAATACATGTTTTTTCTTTCCTCACAGCTGTTTGGATCTCATTTTTATTTATTCTTGTGCAGCCCTGTCTTGAGTTGGAACCCCGAATTATTCTTCTGACGCTCTTAATAGGCTTTTTGGTCTTCTATCCCCCCCCCCCAGACTGTTTTCACAGAAATGCGCCAGGAATGCAAGTGCCATGGGATGTCAGGCTCTTGCACCGTGAAGACTTGCTGGATGCGTCTGCCCACTTTTCGGACCGTGGGGGACTTCCTCAAGGATCGCTTTGATGGCGCTTCCCGGGTCATCTACGGCAACAAAGGCAGCAACCGAGCTTCCCGCATGGAGCTGCACCATCTGGAGCCGGAGAACCCAGCTCACAAGCCTCCTTCCCCTCACGACCTGGTCTATTTTGAGAAGTCTCCCAACTTCTGCACTTACAACGGCAAGACAGGCACCGCAGGCACGGCCGGACGCTTCTGCAACAGCACCTCCCCAGCTCTGGACGGCTGTGAGTTGCTGTGCTGCGGGAGGGGCTACCGCACCCGGACACAGCGCGTCACCGAGCGATGCAACTGCACCTTCCACTGGTGCTGTCACGTCAGCTGCTTGAACTGCACCAACATGCAAGTGCTGCACGAGTGCTTGTGAGCAACGGAGAGGGAAGCAAAGGACATGCTTGGCCGAGTCAACGAGAAACACCAGCTCAGAGAAGAAGACCTCACGAAAAGGCCCAGGCTGCAAGGCACTCAAAACACACACAGACACACACACAGACACACACACCCCTACCTTCCTATTTCCCCACAGGAGCACAGTACCCTTCCTTGGCCCAGAAAGCAGACATCTTTGTGGTTACAAATGTCTTCACCTCTCTGTCTTGGGAGAATCAACCCAGGTGGAAATGGCTACAGACATCCATGAGAATCAACACGGTTATGCATATGCTTTGCCCCCGGCCCAAGTGTGCAAGGAGCCCCTTTTGTGTTTTTTGGCAAGCTAATCGAAATTGTCATGTAGAGCTTAATTTATAAACTAGATCTAAAAACTTTAACCCTAGGGATTGCAGTTCCCAGGTTATTAGGCGTGTTTTGATTGGTTGAAATCTTTAGTTCCTTTCTGGACCTCCTGGATGACTGGAGTGGAAGGGTGGGGAACATCTTGGACTTCAGGCAGAGTGGCTTTCCCTCATCTGAGGCACCTGCTCAGGTCACAAGAAGTGTCTTCCCTATGTGTTTGACACCTTTCATTTTACAGACCTCATACAAGCTTCTCTGAACTGAATTTCAGGTGTCCTGTATATGATAATTAGGAGCTAGAGGGACCCCTTCCAACTTCTTTTAATGTAGCTCCAAGAGAAACGCAAGAAAAAATTTGGGGATCAACTGTGGTCATAAGTTGAGGTCTGTTTGTGCCAGAGACCCTTTGGCTCATTTCCCAATCTAGGTGCCCTCTAGAAGTGTGGACCACTGTCAGCAAAAGCATTGCAGTTAATTCTGCTAATTTGGTCCACATGTCAGCCAAGCTGGGGAAGATTGTCCTAGAATCTGGCCTTGGGTGCTGCATCTGTTATCTAGCAAAGTGGCAGTAGGGAGGTTTGGTCTCTCAAAGACAAGCACTGTTCAAGGTCCATGGGAGACAGGCAGCTCCCCTTTAATTACACGTTGCTCCCTGTGCTTAGAACTATTCTCAAACACAATTTTTGTGCCGCTGCGTGGAGGTCGGGAATATGCATGCAAGGATGTGTATGCCCTTCCGACTTTTGAACTTTTTTTGTTAAGAAAAGATGCTTCTAGAAAATACTGAATTTTTTCCGACAGTTCTAAAAAAATTTTCCCCTCCTTTCATTTTGCTCTCAATCACTCACTCAGAGAAATCACCCTTGGAAATAATATGCACTGAAGAAGTGACTGGGATTGCTAATAATTTTGCAGATGTGTGTAAATAAAATATTTATTATTGCTTGTTTCATATTCCTTTAGGCCTGAATGAAGCAAGGTTCTTGCTCCTAGACATGGTTTCTGAATCTTTTTGCGACGTTTTAGAGAAGAATAAAGTATATATTTTTTATCAATTTAACGGAGTTTAATGTATTTGCTGTACTATACAAAATTCAAATGCCTCATCCTGGATTGCCTTGTATCTAACTCTGCGTTGGTTGTGCACAGATGTAGTTGGCACCCACGTTGAGGTTGGTGCAATTATGATCACTTGGTGCCTAATTTGACCTCTCAACACAGATCATGGAGTTCTGTCTGGCAGCTTTTGCTCTAAGCCCAATTATTTGCAGCTGAATGAGAACATATATTTGGAGGACTCAGCCAGTCATCAGTTAAAGTCTCCAAGTATTAGATAATTTACCACATCCCTTGCTGATCTGTTCCAATATTATTGCATTTTTTAAAAAGCTGCATTTCAATTCCAGCTTGAGTTGATGTTCAAGACTCCAAAGCCTTTTTACGATTGTGTCTACTACGTTAAGAAGCCCATCTCTTCAAAGAATAGTGACAGGTTCAGAACATGTAAACAAAGCCATGTTATCATGGCTCGTTCACCACTTATAGCAAGAAGATTTTATTGAATAAGTAAACATGTAGCTCAAGCAAAGGTAAATCCAGATTTGCCTGCTTGAAGAGACATATAGTTACATGAGTGGGGATTGTACTTGGCTTGTTATCAGTACAGATTAAATTTTTTTTCCAGGAATGCCAATATACAGTATTTTGATTTTTTAAAAAGAAGCTGGGGAAAGACTCCACTGAGAAATAAATATTGAGATAACTGACACCTGCCATTTTAGGCCTCTATCTAGTACGTATTCCAAAGAAGGGGAAAAAAACCCAACTAATACAGTTATACCTTTATGCACCTTTGCAGGTGAAAGATCCGTGCAGGGACCTGTCTATTCATTGGTCGTGCTGAAAACAAGAAGCTTTGGGCCTAATGTTTGTATGTTGAGCAGCTGATGCAGGTTATTGGCAGTTTCAACTATTTTGAGGATCTCTGCACTATCCATATCTTTTGTTTCTCACTTCCAACTGCAAAGGGGAACATGACTTGGCCCCAGAGCCAGAGGAGATGGCTGTAGGAAACAAAACATTGGAGGACAGAAGTCTAGACTCTAGCCTAGGCCCTAGAGACTGCCTAGAAAGAACAAGATGCTCTTTGTAGTGCTTCACAAGAAGGGCAACTTGATAAGAGTTGAAGACCTTGGGCCTCCTCCGAATTCCATCCGCCAGTCAATGCCGACTGGCGACTACGCGGAGGAGAGCCTTTTCTGTTGCAGCTCCGACCCTGTGGAACGACCTCCCCGTCGAGATACGCACCCCTTTTTTTTTTTTTTAATTAAGATTTATAGGCCGCCCTTCTCCCTGAGGGGACTCAGGGCGGCTTACAATCATAGGGAAG